GAAGCTGGAGGGATGCAGTCATGATATGCTGTTTCCTACAGGACTAAGATTTGAATAGTAGAGAACCTTGGCTTTGGTTCAGAGAAGCACCTGGAAGCTTGGATGCATCTATCAGCACCTCTCCAGTTGAGTAGGAAACTCATAAAATAGGCTTTCTTAAAATAATGTTTCATAATCCCAGATCCCAGAAAATGTTGTCATGCCCAGATGTCCTGCTGCATTTGGTATTCCTGCTTTTAGATAAGTTTACTCTAAGGCACGGTGAGATGAGCACAAGTTTAAAAGGAAGGATGAAGCAGAGACAGACACAGTTGGCAGTAGTTTGATTTCTGAAATCAGGTTGAATGTCAAGGAGCACTTTCTGTGATCAGTTCATCCATTTATATGGGTTGCAGCTGACTCGAGCTGTTCTGTACTTATGCTATATAGAATTTATGGACTGATGTGATTAGAAAAAAGTGATTTATGGACTTGAATATGCCTTTACTATCTCAAGTACAAATTAGGAGTAAAATAAAATTACTGTGAGAATGAGACCTGTATTTTTTTCAGCTACACTCCAGTCTAAAGATTATATTGTGGGATATCATGCAAAGGTAGAAGTGTTAGCAAGATACAACTAAGTTGTGAATTGCCATGCAGAGATGTAATATAGAAAAACTGTATGTGCTGTGAGCAATTCTATTTGGATTGCTCATGAACAACATACTTCTCTCAGATTTCTCACAAATACTGTGGAGAAGAATTTCATTGGCTCTCCTGTAGTTATTTGAGCTTGCTTGCTTCCCTGAAATCTTACATTTGTGAATGTATTCGTCTTTGTATACAGTCTCTTTTCTCTCATATATATTTGCTTTCATTTGTGAAAGTCACGTTAGGACTTGCTAAGTCTCTAAGGAGGTGTAGCTCATTGCAGTGTATTAAATTTTATATTTAAATTATCAGTACAGATATGCCGCACTCTATAAAATGCAAACATATCTTAGAGAAATTAATAATTTCTGGGGGAAAAATTAAAATTATAATTCAGTCAAGGCAGTTCTGTTCTTTGTTTATCAGACAGACAGTGTACTATCTTAAGAATATCTGAAATACATCTGTAATAAAAAGTTGTCATTCCTTTATGCAAACAACATAATTAAGTAATACAAACCCTTAACAGAATAAAAGAGGTTAAATTGTATTTTTCACTCAAAACAGATTATAATTAGTTCCTAGCAGAAAGTTTTCTTGATACAATGTATTATTTTCTCACTATTGTGACTGTTGTTGATGGGCTAATCTGCAAAGTGGGTACATACAATCCCACTCCCGTTCATTGCTATTTAGAGTATGTCAGGTGTCCATTTTAGAAACAGACAAAAGCATCATTTGCCTGATGCAAATTGTGAAGTGATGCTTTACCTATGCAAAGCCTGTATTTCTTTCCTCTTACAGACAGAACTTTAAAGACCAAATCACATACTATGGAAAAATACTTGAAGGTTCAGCTTCAGAAAAGAAAGAAATGGGAACATGTTTCATTCTTCCTAAGGCCATTTTAGAGAATTTTCCTGTTCTTTCAACAGTCTGTAACAGATGAGCATACAATTGCTTGTGTATATATTCACTGGGAATGGCTATTTAATCTTAATTTCTGAGATCAAGACCCTAAATACAAGACTCTCATAATACAAGATTGTCAAATACACCATAAAGCTGCTGCAGCACCCAAAGAGTGTACAGAGGCTGCAGTTGAGCAAGCAGCAAAGCTGGTTCCTGTTCCTCATGAATGGTGGCTCCACAGATCGCATCCAATTTCTGTTCATTTCTGGGTGGCAAATGAGCCTTCCTGACTGCAGAAGTTAAACCACCTGCATTGGTAAAGTTTTGTTTTGATAGCAATAGGAATTTATTTTAGTTCCTCTTTTGAAGTAGGGATAAAGAGGTTTATACAAACACATACTCAGCAACTGCATCAATAGGTTCTAGTTAATGAATTATCCATTCAGTGCTACAATAATTCACTTTATCTCTGACCATTCCTGGTGAATTATTTATATAGTGACATTTCTTAGCAAACTGCCATTTGCATCACTTTTACATTATTATTTTCATTATTAATTTACTTTTAATAATTCTTTAGTGCTTAGTCTCATCAATAAAGAGGAACAGATGGAGCCCATGAAGTGCTTAACCTTATCTTAATTCTATATCCCTAACACCATTGCCAATAGCACAAGGGTAGATACATAATACATTAATTGACAGTTCTTTCCTTTTGTACATTTCCTTGTCTCCTTTCTCTCCTGTTTGCCAATATTCCTGAGTTTGTCCTGTAAAAGCAAAGGATGATTCCCTGTTAATGACTATTTAAATAACAGAATTACATTACTATTGTACTTGCTTCTTTCTGTCCCAGACAATGACTATGAATTAATTAGCATTAGAACACTGGAAATTCCTATGAATTTAACATTATATTCTGTGTGCATTATTGAATGATTTTACACTTCCTAATGCAAAACTGATGATATCTCTACAAACCTCAGGGGGAGTGTGTGAGGTCATTAAAGTTAGATTTGCAAAGAAAACATGTGGATTTCTTGCTCACATTATTTTTTCCTGTGCTGATAATGCTACTTTTGAGCTCTTGTTCAGAGTGGCTCATTTGTATTGAAAGATTCTTTTACCCTTTATCCTATTCATCTACCTTTCCAAACTTTTCATTTCATGAGGGAAACGAACTGTGTTTTTTCAATACTTAAAACATTCCTACAGGAAAACAAGAACTTACATTTTCAGATCATAGTGTTGTCTTCAGAGATAACAAACAGAAGGGTAGCCCAGTGTGAGAAAACATACATACAAGTCAGAAATGAAAATAGCAATTTACACCATTTCTTCCTGTCCTCATTGCTGATAGCTTATTTTCTCCATGAAGGAGGATTCGAGCAGTAACGCTGGTGTTTTGCCATCCAGGCATCTACATGGGAATTAAATTGATGAAGTTTTGTTAAAAATTCTCCCTGGAATCCTAAGTTTGCTGTATGTTTCTACTGATTGTTTGTTATTATTTTTATTTTTAAAACAAAGGGATTTTAAATTCATGGGAGCTCACAACATTATTAGAACCCTGCCGGTGACCGAGGGAGAAACAATGGCAAACACAATCCATCCTGAAAGCAATTAATCTCTCTGTACTACTTACTGAGCAAAATGTTAATGTGTTAAGCCATTGCTTAAATAGAATTTTTCCATCAGAATCAGGTAGTATTTCCATAACCTGCATTTTTCTGTTTTAAAATAACCTCCTTTTTTTCTGAAGTAAATAGCAATATGTATTTCAGCTTAAATTTAACATTCTGTATTAATAAAATTTCATAAAATTTATAATAGTTAAGTAATATATTCTTGAACAGGGAAGAAAAATCTTGGCTATGCATCCAGAACCAAAGCTTGTTGAAATGATTAAACAGCTTTTAACAGCAGACAAAAGAAATGTTTTCTTCATGTCAGTTTGATTTACTTCAATAACTAGTTCAAAGTTAAGGAACGGCTTAGAAATAGAATAAGCTGAAGCATCATTATCTTTAAATGGTCTGTGAATAAACTCTCAGTCTGGGATGCTGAGACTTATGAATTCATTCATTAGCTGTATGTAAAATTAGGCTTGGTAATAAACCAGTGTTAAGTATAAAATGTTTGATACATTTTTCCTCTGTATACAACATTTATTGCAATTTTATTTAAATAATAAATACACTTGAAAGGCTGGGATTTTGCATTTCAATTGCAAATCCCATTTCCATCCAAAGCAGGTTGATATGAGTCGTAAGTAAACAAAAATTAATCTTCTAGTAAAGAAGAATTATTATCATTTCTAACAGAATGCTATGTAAGTATTAAGCATTTGAATAGTTATGCTGAACTATACCACTTCTGAAATGGGAATGTAAGGTACGTTTCTGGTAGTGTATGGAAGTAACAGATTAGTTTAAAAATTAGATTCAAATTAACTTTTTTTTTTTAATTTACGTACAGACAAGAGTCAAAGTCCCTTGAGGAGAAAAGAATAATACACATTCAAAATAAATATAAAATGGTCTTTTAAAAAAATAATTGGTTTACAGTTTTTGTATTTTTGTATTTTTTTGTATTTTCACAGAACTAATGTTTGAAATCTTATGAGAAATAATTTCATATTCAATTCTTGAAATAATTTTGAAGTTTTACCAAAATATTATAGTTTAGGGCCTTGTAAGTAGGCAACTCTGTGATATATGGGAGATAGAATGGCTATATTGCTATATTAATCATAAACCCCTACTTTAGGAGCATCTTTACTCAGAATTTTAATTGGGTAGACAATTCCAACATTTCTAAAATAAATTTAATTTCCAGCTGAAAGAAAATAAGTTTTGACATTTTATACTTATTAAAATTCTGTTTAAAATATCAAAATGGGCATTTTTTTCCCTTAGCAAGAGTAAAGCAGTCAGTTTACATTTTCATGTAACAAGAGTTACATAAATTTATTTTTAAAATGCAGATTTATGCTCACGTTGTTATTGATTTATTTTAACTGTATATGATGCTGACATTTTAATTAGAAAGACTTAGTTGCTTTATATTAGGTTTCCTTACTGATTTATCAAAATCAGAACATTCATATTCTCTCTTGAAAACAATAACGATAGCAGGTCCCATTAAGTCACAGAGCTGACAGAGACGCTCATCTCCAACTTGCTCAAAGTTGTGAATTAGTTAATTTGTTTCAAACATGTAATTGCTAGAGAGGCGGTTCAGAGTGCGGTTTGATGACCACTCTTGTTTTTGTGTATCCAGCATTGTAAGGGCAATGAAATCTCAGCTGTTGGGGTCTCTGAGCTAAAGGAGAAGGAAGAGGTTTTATTATGTCAGTGGTGGAGAATGTATTTAAAGCAGTAAGGATCTCACCGGTTTCAGCCAAGCACTGACATACTAATTATGCCTTAACTACATCTCCTGTTTCCTCCTAGGTCTTACTGCTGCAGCATCTCTCGTATCCCTGGCCTGGGCTTTGGCTTCCTACCAAAAGGCCCTCCGTGACTCCCGTGATGACAAGAAACCCATCAGTTATATGGCTGTTATAATCCAGTTTTGCTGGCATTTCTTCACAATTGCAGCAAGGGTCATTACTTTTGCTCTGTTTGCCTCAGTTTTCCAGCTGTACTTTGGGATCTTCATCGTGTTGCATTGGTGCATCATGACCTTCTGGATTGTTCACTGCGAGACAGAGTTTTGCATCACTAAATGGGAGGAGATAGTTTTCGACATGGTTGTTGGTATAATCTATATCTTCAGCTGGTTCAATGTCAAGGAAGGAAGGACACGCTGTAGGCTTTTCATTTACTATTTTGTCATCCTTTTAGAAAACACTGCCTTGAGTGTTCTCTGGTATCTGTACAAAGCCCCCCAAATCTCTGATGCATTTGCCATACCAGCACTGTGTGTAGTGTTCAGCAGCTTTTTAACAGGCATCGTTTTTATGTTAATGTACTATGCCTTCTTTCACCCCAATGGACCAAGGTTTGGGCAGTCGCCAAGCTGTGCTTGTGAGGACCCTGCCACTGCCTTCACCCTACCCCCAGAAGTGGCCACAAGCACGCTAAGGTCCATCTCCAACAACCGGAGTGTCACAAGCGAGCGGGATCAAAAATTTGCAGAGAGGGATGGATGTGTGCCTGTGTTTCAGGTGAGACCCACCGCACCATCCACACCTTCATCCCGGCCACCAAGGATTGAGGAGTCTGTCATTAAAATTGATCTGTTCAGGAACAGGTACCCAGCATGGGAGAGACATGTGTTGGACAGGAGCCTGAGGAAGGCAATCTTGGCATTTGAATGTTCCCCTGCTCCTCCACGGCTACAGTATAAAGATGATGCCCTTATCCAGGAGCGCTTGGAATATGAAACCACATTGTAAACAAAGCAAAAACACGGCTTGAAGAAGCTCCAGTGTTACAGTCCAAATTAAGGGTTGACAGTAGGGCTGTAGGAATAACTAAACTGTGTACTACAAGTAGAGCAGCAAGCTGTAGTGTTTTAGTCTGGCTATCATCATGATTATCATTTGATCCATTGTGTGCAGTCTGTCTGCAGGACACTGATACAGCAGCATCATCTGAAAGCCTAAAAAAAACCTTGACCCACACATACAGATCAGTTACTTCAGCTAGGGAAACTCACCCACGACCCCTTGCTGCTATGAAACTCTGACTGCACAGTACTTACAACCAAATAAGAGCTTTCAACTTTAGCCAGTAGTGCATTTTATTTTAGAAATTAATGACTGATATTTCCAAAATCAATGGCAAAAATAAACGAAAAACCTACCTTTTCAAAAATAACAAAACTAGCACACAGTGTTTCTGTTATGAAAAATGTTTTCTGGAGAAAAAAATAGGAGCATACTAGTCTTCAACACTCCCATAAATCAACCATTCAGGTTAGGTTAGGTATGCAAAATGGTTCTTAATTGAAAAGATACATTGTCATGTTTGTAAGGCTGTCAAAGGAAAGTAAACTAAATTTTGATTAATTAGGTCATAAAAATTAATACTACCAGAACTGTTTGCTTTCTGTGGAATTTCAAAGTCTCTTTAAAATAAAATTTAGCTTCTTGATGTTACTTTTAGCAGAAATCCTATGCAGCTCACTTCTGGTTTTCAGGAGAAATAAGGAGCTCTAACATGTAGTGATATACATTAAATGATAATCATGATTCAATGTTCACTTTGCAAAAAAAAAAAAGTGAAAGAACAGGGAAGTATAGTTTTCATATTCTAAACTTTTTGGAGGACCCCATTCAGACATTTCAGAAGAAACTACAAGGAGATGAACACACTGAGACTTCTCTGTTTCAGGACTGAGAATGCATGATTCAGTGTGTGAATGTATGCAGGGGTGACAAGAGACTGTGACATGCCATACCCTTCTAGTGCCAAACATTGTATAACTGCAAGGTTGATATTGCCTGAGGGACAGATAACAAGTGGCACAAGCCCTACCAGAAAAAGAAGCAGGGAAGACCAACCAAGTTCTCAACATGTAGAGACAGCTCTGATTTTTCCCAACCCGAGGTGAAAGTGGTGTCTTTTAAAGGCTTTCAGTCACCTCTTAGTAAGTATATTCACAGAAGTATAATATAAGAAAGTTATGTGAAAGAGTCTCTTCTGCCTGTTCAAGACTTTTGTCCAGATGCGTCTAAAAATTACGTTGAATCTCTTGTAATAGAGTGCTTTGCTGCAAGCTTTTGGGTTTTAAATACCTCCCTAAATCTAGTCAATGGTATTATCCTTCATGTTAAAAGTATCCCCTGATGGTGCTTTCAAATGCATTAAAGGTGCAAGTCAAAATTTGATAGTATTTTTTTTAAATCTGGTGCAGAGTGAAAAACTCATGGATTATTTCGATATTTTTGTAAACTAAAAATATGGTATAAAAGGTTACTTTTTATAAACCTCAAATCTTTTAATACATTTCATTCTCTTTATAGCTTAGATTTTAAGAATTGGTCCATGAATTTTATCAAATGGCTTTTTCAGGTTGATGTAAACCTGGTTTTCACACATTATGGATTTGTTTTGCAGTGTAATGCCATATGAAAGCCTACATGGGTACTTTTAGAATACCCTATAAACTGTGGATCCTGTTTCAAATGTAAGTGGCTTGTAAAGATACCAAGTGATTCCATAAGAAAAAATTTGCTATAACTATTTCCATCCATTTTAGGAGAGAGAAGCAGAACTGAAGAGTTATTGTTGTAAATGGCATTGTCAGAATGGAGAAGACCTGATGATTGGTATTGTAATGTTCGCTGTCAGATATATCCAGTGTAGTTACTGCTGTATATGCTGCTGAATTAATTTCAGTCTTTCCTATTATGAATATTTGTACTATGAAATGGCCAAGGTTACACCAACTATGTTTATTTGTGTGCGTTCAATTAGCCATTTTTAATGTTGACTTTTTTTATTAGTGAAATGTTCGATACCTGTTGTTCTTTGCTGGGACAAGTTCCTCAAAACAAAAAAAAATCTGTGAAAGTGCAGGAATCTGCAAGGCAGAGGGAACTTTACACAGATCAGAAAACACCCATGCTTCAAGGGTTTCTTAGGTATTTTCAAATTAAGCAGTAGCCAACTGCCTCTATAATAATTTTTTAAATAAAAAATTTTTTGATAGTCCAAACCTGAAGCTTTGTACAAAGTGATTGCCCTTCTCTCCATGAATATATAGCTGATTATTCAGAGAAAAGCACTAATGTTTTGTCAAAAAATATACCAGTGCAAGAACTGCTAAAAAAAAGGTTTTTGAAGCAAGTCCTTTGTCCTGTCAAATGCAGTAGAGCCTTCACTCCAGAATCAAACGCTAGTTCGCACAAGGAAATTGCTGGTTTTCTTTACAAACAGGGCAAATGGTAAGCTTTGTGATCCAAGATGTGTTTCTTTTGGAAACAGTTGAATGTGTTTGCTGCTGCTTTAACAACTCAGAAATTTAAGCCTGAATGAGGCACAGTGGGCAGCCTTTGCAAGCTCAACCCACCCTCCGGTACCTCCTGGGGAGAGGGGCACATCACGGCTGTCAGTGAGGCTTGTCCTGTGCTGCTGTCCCTCTCATCCCCTTGCTCTTCCTCAGAGCTGTGAGCCCTTTGGTCAGGGCTTAAAGAATTGAAGAAACATTCCTTCGTACAAAATTTAAAGGGTTAAAGTCTGCACCAGTGCTTGCTTTGCAAAGTTGCTGAAGAAGGTTTGGGGTGAGTTTGTTTGATTTGCTCTTGTTTGGTTTTGGAAGGAAGGACACAGAGGTATTATTTATCCATGTGGGTTTTCATGCCTAACATTTACTTTCTTTACTCTCCCAGCATTTTTGATTTTTTTCTAATAATGTTTGTAAAAATGTTTATCTTAAGCAAACTACTACTGCAGGGTCCGAGTGCGGAGCAACATATACATACACATATATATATATATATATATATATGTATATGCACAGCACTATATATATATGCATCTTGTCCTAAGAATTCAGTCTCGCTGTTTGAGGAAGGGAGAGAAATCAATATACACTAAGTCAAAATTTGCTCTCCAAAATCTTATTCTGTTACATTCATAACATCAGTGATACTTGTACTGAGAACAGGGTGGCCATTGAAATCTTAACACTCAGATGACTACGTTTCATAATTTGCATTGCTGTGAATAGTCACATTAAATGCTGTAAGAACTTTTTATAGAAATTGCCAAGATTAAACATCATTCACGTTGAAATTCCATGATGGCCTTAAGGACAGTTAATAATCAATATGCACTATTCTTTTTACCACAGACAGTTTTAAAATCAATAATGTTCAGTTAAGACAGCAATAGCAAAAAAAAAAAAAAACAAAAAAACAAACAACAAAAAAACAAAACCCAAAAAAACCCACCCAAAAAATTGTAAAGAAAATTAACTTCTGCTTTTGAAATAATAAAAAAAATCAGGCCTTTTAAATTTCATTCCAGAATACAAGAAAATGAAATGTTCATATTTTGATATTCACATTCTGGTAAAGAAAAGCAATCACATCTCTTTGTTAGATGTAAGAATTATGAAAGCATTGTTCTACTGAACCAAAAAAATTGCCAGCGGATTTAATGGTAACTTATCTGGTTAAACACTTGGTCCTAAACTTTTGAGAGTCTGTATTTGTCTGTTACAGAAAAGACAATTCAACTACTATTCACTACTCTAATTAGATAAAGAAGAGGTAATATATACCAGGTTCATTCAGAAAACATATAAAAAATGTAACATACAATTTTTGTCTTATTTTAAAAGTTATTTGTTCTGTAATAAGATAATTTTTCTGAAAAAATTCTTTGCAAATATGTGCAATACCTTTTTCCTGCATATTTAATAATGAAAAAAGTAATTTCTGATTTTGTTTATGTCAATTTAAGTATGTTTCTCATGCTAGAACAATGTTTCTGTGCTTGGGCTATATGGCTTTGATGACATATAAACAACATTTTTACTGACAAAACAACAAATTCTCTATTAATTAATTTTTATAACACTGGAGATAATTTTCCTTCCAAAATTCAATGCCTCATCCGCCTGATTTTGTAAACTTTTAAGCAGAGAGGGTAAATTACAATTTTATTGGAGATGTAATTTTTAATATGTGATGAATAGCTATTACACCCGTATTAGTTTAAAACATACGATGGTCTAGCCAATACATCATTATTTCCCCAAAAGAGCAATTCATAAGTGGTAGTAAAAGTAAAGGTGCTGCTTTATTTGGAAAGGGACTTCCAATCATGCAATATATTCATTTACTTTTTATTGGCCAGCAGATATTCACAACCAGCCTTTTGGGTTTTTTAGAACACAAATTAAACAATTTTGAAGTCTTTGTGATTTGATCATATAACTCCTGAAGAGCCTTAAAAGTGGCGCTGTATTGAGTTTTAGTTGGCTCTGCCAGTGATTCAGCTCCCAAAGCCGTTGCTGCCCTTTCTCTGCTCCATCCCTGAAGTCATGCAATCCAGAGTGACTGAGATGCTGAGATTTACTTTGCACCCCCTGCACTGCCTGTACAGTGCCAAGGAAAAGACTTCAGCAGATTTCTGTGGTCCTGCTGCTGCCTCTCTTGCTCCTGTGCATGGTGGGAAGCAGAGTAAATTGCATATGTGCATCTATTTAAATGAGCTTATTTACGCTGAGCCCCTACAAGATGTGTGTGATGAAAATAATCGCAACACGTGTCCATGAATTTACAAGCCCAACACTGCAATTACTAATTCTGTAGCATAACAACGCAGAACATGGGAAGAATTGTCTAAACACACAATAAGCCATTTAATTTTGCTAATTGTAGCAATTAGACTAGCTTGCATGAAGCCTGTGCTCTCAGCAGAAAGCCAAATAGAGTAAATGGCAAACAGCCATTTATATACCAGAGACATTAAGTCATGAAATCCTCCCTTCATTGTTATAGAACTATGTCTTTTCATTATGACGTTGAATTGATTCTTCTTTATCCTGATAAAAGAGATAAAATGCAAAATAAGAACAGATTCTTTTAAATCTGGGAATTAAAAAAAAAAACCACAACAGATTACTGCAGTTCTCATGTAGTGATTTTTTGAAACAAATTCTGTCATTATTTTCACTTGGCTGCAGATTGCTGAGCAATCAACTTCTGAGATGATTTCTCACATCTGGTATGAGCAGACTTCATTACAGGAGAGACAGAGATGAACATAACAAAGCCTTGCTCATACAGAGTTAGGGGAATAGTGTCACTGATCAACAGATTGTTTACAAAGCTGTTTTAATACGTGAGGTATCCCTGGGCACAATTTGTTTTACAGTAGTGACCTCAGTGCAGGACTTTCATGAGATGTCTTCACTGATATGACAAAATCAGGCCCCTGGTATTGAGTGAACAACTGCATGAATTCAGACCACAGCAATGGAAGTCTTCACCTCCTTGCTCCAAACTGAAGTCAGCTGGAGATTTGCTTCTTTCCAAAGAGCCTGCATGTCACTTGGCTCAACCAGAAATACATACTCTAAACTTCGTGCTAGCTCAGCATGAATCAAACATTTCTTCTTCTTTCCCTTTTAGTTCAAACATTTAAGAACATACGCACTTTGACACAGTTGCTGTTTTGTGATCCTTTTAAGAAGATTTTGAAAAATTCCTCTGAAACCAGTCATTTCCAGTGATTCTTATAAAAGTCAATTGCTGACCAGCACATTCATTAAAAGGAACTTTTTCTAAATGTATAAGCTTGGCTCCTGTACATACATTTTACTCTGAATGTTTAGGGTTTCTTTCTTATGCAACGGATCTTATGTACCCATTAGTAAGCTGTATGCCTACTCTGAATCCTGGGGCAAAGAGGACAGATATGCAAGATGCAGGGCAGAAAGTCCTCTTCAGGACTTTTACAGGGTGATTTGCGTGAGCCAGAGAGGTCAGAGAGAAGCTTGTATATAATTACGATAGACTTATACATGCTATATTAATTGATAGAAATTTACAAGAAATTGTGATATAAGTGGCCAACTTATAGGTCAAATCTCAACTTTCACATGCAAGGCAATGTAAAAAAAAGCAGTGAAGAAACTTTGAAGTGCAAGCAAAAATCTCTTCGAGGAATGGTTGGGATAAACTTAAAAATATAACAGATTTGTCATAACTAGATGTCATATTCGTAAAAAGAAAGATGAAATGGCTATGGGTACAGTTTCTCTATCTGTAGATTTCAGCCTCTTATTTCAGATGTCTTTGGAAGCAATTGCTTCTGGATCTTACTTCTAGGCATGCTGCAGCCCTAAGAATACTAGCAGCTTTTCTACACAATACCTGTTCTGCTATAGGAAAGTCCACATCCTTTTAACCATGTGTTGAGTTTGGCATTGTTTTCTGCACTGAACTAAACCTCACAAAAGCTTTTTTAGCATGAAATAGGTGTGTCCAGTCAGCCACATACTGTGTAAAGGTACTGAAAAACAGAATTTCACTAATAAGTGATTTCCTCAAGGTAAAAAAGCTGCTTGTTGAATGTCTAGAAGAGACTTCAGAGGCATAACACAGTACAAAGGCAAGACATAGACTGTGTTTGTGTGCTACAAGTCCACTCAGGGCAAGGCCTGGTCGTAGTCCAGCACTCCCTTCCCCATCTCATGCACCAAAGAGCCCACAGAGAGAAAAATCAAGTGCATGAGCTGGATGAAAGCCACAACACTCGGGGACCAGATACCCAGCACATTGCAGCACACGTGTAGAGGTCTGCACAGGCACATTGGGGGCCTCAGACTAATACTGTGATCCTCAAACTGCACTAACTAGCAGCTCCTGAACGTTTTTAGTGCCAGATGTTCGACCACATAAAATTTGGCTCCTGGACTTGGTCAGAAACAACTTGGTCTTAACAGCACAAGGTAGCTCAGCTCCTATCTCCCACCTAAGCCTGCCAGGATCCCCTGAGCACATATTCTTCTGCTTATTTTACCTGAAGGACTTGGGTCCTCTGGGGTGCTATCAGATGGAGCTTTGCACAGAAATACTCATGACTGCTTTTCCAGCAGTAAGTTGGTGGTAAGCAGAGACCAAGGGGAGAGCCAGATGCAGTTATCTCTTCCACTAGCAATGATTCATATCTTTAGCTACTGTCTCTCAGGGGAAGGCTATAGGGCTGCACACTACTGAGGAGAAGGGCAATGCTCCCTGCTTCATATTTTGAGGCTGTTCTTCCTCTTTGTGGAAAACATAAAAGTTATCCTGTGCAATGTAGACGTACTTCTAGTATTTTGACATGTTCAGTCCCTTTAGTGTCGAGGGCTGAAATCGTTGAGCGCATTCAGTGCCATTGCCTACATCCAGCAATGTCTACAGGATACATCTGGGGAAGAAGAAAATCACTCTGCTCACCCTCCAAAAGCCGTATGAACATGGTTAGCACTGTGACAAAGCCTGAATCTCTACATGCTGCCTTGAATCAGGTCTACTAATGCACTGTGTGCTAATGCACTGCTAACGCTGTGGCCACGTTCACCTGGTTTTTCATTGGAGCTCAGGCAGACTTTTTATGGGCACCAAAGCTGCATGTGTAGCTTATCTATAGTTGCCTGAGCCCAAGGTGCATACCCTTTGCAATCCCAGTTCCTTCACCAAACAAAGATCAGTTTGGGCTGAGCAAAGGGCAAACAGGCTCTATGCTATCTAGCCAAGCATGTGGAGCACACATGGTTTCTCTGGATGGTACATTTGAATCACAGTTATGTGCAAATTGCCCAGGTTATGGTGAATGCAAAAAGTTCAGTGTCCACAGTTTGGAGCATGCTATAATGAATACTCTCTGTGAAAGTGTTTGTTTTTATCATAATAAAAATAGTACAATCTTATCTCATACTTGGGAGCAAATTTACAGTATCAAATGCATTTATATATATATACGTGTGTATATATATGTGTGTGTGTGCATGTATACATGACAGTGAGTCCTGAGATTCTATTAGGATTCAATCTTGCAATTCATTTAAATTCTAAGCCTAAACAAAAGGATCAAGAGCATTGCCATCAAGGGTAATCAAGTGATAACTGCAAAAAGAAAAGAACATTATTGGAAAATATATTCTAGTTATTATTTGAGACAGCTTTGCGATGTATTATGCCAGCACTTTAACAAAAAGTTATGGAGAAAATATGTCTAATGCTATATTTCATAATCTTAAATATTTTGGTAAAAGAATAGAGTGGGAAAAATTTATATAAAATAAAGAAGGATCTATCACATTTACTTAAGGAAAAAATCATAGGAAAATGGCAAAGGGATCAATTAAACTTTTATTTCATTTAATGTTTGTTGTATTTGTTTTTCTATCAG